GTGTTGAAATTAACAAAAACTAAAACGTAATTAAATTAAAGATGAAATAAAATATAAATATTAGATTAAAAATTTAAACTTAAAAGAAAACCTAAATGTCAGTTAGAAAAGTTGCCACCTAAGCAAATTTAAGTTGAAATACAAAATTATTAAAACAAAAATTTAAATTAAAATAAATTCAAGCAAATATTAAAAAATAAAACTGATAAAATTACAAAAGCATAACAACATTTCTAAGTCTAAAACTAATAAAAGATAAAACAACTAAAACAACTGATTTCAGATTGCAATTCAAGTTTTGAATTGAACTGAATTGAATTTCAGATTGCCACTCTGGAGCACCATATTAAAAATAAATATGTATGTACTCATATATACTAAGACAGACAGACAGACAGACAGACAGACAGATAGATAGATAGGCTATACACACAGACATACTAATAATTAACTAATAACATTCTAATAAATAAACAGACTTACCAATTATTAGTGTTTAAATCCACTGTTGTAGAATGACAGTACAAACTCATATTTACTGCTCATTCCTCGTCCATCAGGTGGGCTTCATTGACTACATCGTGCACCCGCTATGGGAGACCTGGGCAGATCTGGTTCACCCTGATGCCCAGGAGATTCTCGATATGCTGGAGGACAACCGTGAGTGGTACCAGAGCATGATCCCTCACAGTCCCACCTCCACCCCTGAGGACAAGGGCAGTGTGGTCGGGATGGGAGCGATGGGTGGAAGTATCGCCTCAGCAGGGGAGAAATTCCAGTTCGAACTGACCTTAGAGGAGGAAGGGGAGTCTGACGTTGAGAGTCCCGTGGAGGAAGAGTTCACTTCCACCGTACAGGATTACTCCAGGACAGATCCAGAAGGCAAACATCCATCTTCGGCTCCCTGCACACAGCAAGCCAACCTGACTGCTCGCTCCCCTGGCTGCAGGACAATGTCTTTTAAGATGGGCGAGCCGCCAGACAGTGAAGATGAAGATAGAGAACTTGACCAAGAAGGGAAAAGCGTGTCTTGCCTGCGTCTGGGAACATAACACTAGTGCACTTTTTCATTTTGTTCTATTTTATTCTTTTGTACCTCTTCCTCACCACCTCCTTATCCCTCTTCATCCCATTCTTAGCTTCCTCGGGCGGAGGCGATGCAGTGCAGGAGAGCAAAGGAGAGGTAGGAAAGCTTCCAAGGGACGTTTTTTATACAGTAGTCACCTTGCACTGGAGAAAGCTCCTACTCTACGGACTGTCAAAGCATGAAGCTTTCTTAAAACATTCTCGGTCTTGTGAGTTCGGGATGCCATTCAGCTTTACTGTCAAGCGTAAAACTGCCTATGTGTTATGGACTGAGAGGAAACGTCCTCAAGTGTCTTCCTGTGACATCCCAGGTTTAAAGTTAACGAACAAGTGGAGCCGTCCGAACATGATTGATATACAGGACACTTTTTATGTGAGACGTATGTGCACTAAAATGTTTTTTTTAAAAGATGCACTGTTGACTTAAAGCTGGTCTATTATTAGCTGAACAAAAACAACCTAACCTTAACACACCAGAACATCTCAGGATTCAAAGAAACTTTCATGTAGCAAACAGCTTGAGGGTACCCACATAGTGACCGCCGTCTTCCTTGGATCACTATAAAATCTGTAGACTGAAGTCGAGCCATGATTGTGATCTTTTGTGTTTGTATGTGACGCCACCTAGTGCTTAATAGTGGAACTGGATCAACGTTTATAGGATCTACCACTCCAGCCGAACACAGTGGCTCTGTATTGTTGTTCCTTTGCACAGATTATAATCATCAGACTGTTTTAACTTAAAACCCTTCTCCCTTTAATTTGTAGGAATGCTGCTTTAATTTATGGCATGCACATGGTTTACATATGCTTCTCGTTTATTTTTCGATTCTGCTTCATCCAAAGCATGAGCGTAAGCATTATTACATTGTATGTCACAGTTTTAAAATGGCTTGTTTCTGATGTTCTAGGTAGCACTTTAGTAGATGCCAAACGTTGCTCCATCAGTAAGGGCTGGAGTCATTATTAACATACAGAAGACTAGGATTCGCCGTGATCTGCAGGGTAACCAGCATGTGTACGCACCCTGTATGTAAGTTGGTCTCTGGAAGGCTGGGCTAGCTTGGAAAACCACATTAGCTGTATAGGAAGTGATCGGGGTCCTTAAACCACATGTGTAGTTTCTCTCTCTTTCTGTGCTGGTCACACTGAAAAAGATGAGGTGTCTTAACGTCTTTACAGATGTATGATGTCTAAACAAAAGTGAACAGTTTTGTTCTAAAACGAGAGCTGTGCGCTACAAGATAACACGTAAAGCCAAAGTTAGTTTTCTGTGCCAGACCTTTATTGTGTCCTTTGGTTTTTGGTGATTGATCAGTGCTCTGCTCTTCACAGGGACATAGCCAAGGACAGTACAAGTGCCAAGCAAGCATGATCCATGCTGTACTGTAATTTCCATTTTGCCACTGGCTAATTTCCATCAATGACATTTTCTACTGTCAGTAACGTACTGATTTGAGCATTTAGTTTTCTTTTAATTCTTCATTCAAAACTGTCGATTTGTCAAGCTGAAATTTTATTTAAGAGTATTCTTGATTAATAACAGGTTTCAAGTCTTTCTGACTCAGTGTGCTCATTGTAAGTCAGATTATTTGTGTCCTTTTTATACAATGGTATGAATTTTAATATTGGATACAGTGAATTTATGTATGTAAATGGATTACAGTAAACGGGGCTTTTAATTAGTGACTATCTTAATGTCTGTCTGCTCTTTATAGCAATGTTTTGTGTGGTGAGAGAAATGCTGAGTGGCCATGCAAAGTTTCAACTGACTGTATCCACATGGCACACCTCTGTTTGGTCTTTTTCTGTCGCAGATCTGACAATCCCAACAGTACTGTTTACCACTACAACGCTGTTACTAATGATGCTGTGATTGTTTTCCTGTTCCCAATACCAATAAACTAAGAAATATTAGTAAGCTAATTAGTAAGCTCATTTGTGTTATGTGGATATCCATTTCCACCACATAAGAATTTATTTATTTATTGGTAAATTAGAAGATTAAAAATAAAAAAGATGAGTTTACGATATATACATCATAATTCTGACATATAAAGTCAAAATGTTTGTATGAAAAGTCGAAATAATGACAAAGTTATAATTATGATATAGACCTACTGTAAATGGTCAGATTTATGGCATAAAAAATTCAAATTATGACAAAAAACATAATTATGACATGAAAAGTTAGCAAAAATTACAAAATTGATAATTATGACAAAAGTCTAAATTATGACTGTTTATCTCAACATTTCTATTTGTCGTGATTTATACATTTTGATTGTCATTATTTTGACTTTGGAAGTATGTCGTTATTTCGACTTTTCATATAATTATTTCGACGTTATGCCATTGACTTGTCATAATTTCACAGTTGTGTCAATTATCTTATAATTATGACTATTTCATAATTATGACTGCGTTATGATTTCATCATACTTTTAATAGATTTTTAATCTCATAAAGATGACTTTCATCTGATAATTGACTTAGTATGTCATAGTTTAGACTTTTTCGCTTGTCATGAAAATGCAGTTAAGATTTTTTATTTTATAATTATTACTTCTTATTTCAAAATTATGACTGTTATAATTTCATTGAAATTATGAAATGTAAGAAATTATTACTTAAAAATACTGAAATGGGGATCCACAGTATTAATTTAAAACATCTAAAAAAAAAAAGCAAATGCTCTTGTTGCTTCATGTATCATTCTAGAAGACCGCTAATAAGTCGCTACGGTGACGGAGCGAACGTGTAATTGGTTAATCCACATGTCAGTCATTGTTTAGCCCCGCCCCCAGCTGGCTCCAGTCGAAAGCACGAGTACAGGTGCACACGCTGGGAACTGCATCCAAACTACAGTAAATAAACCTCCTGTTAAGGTAAGCTGGGCTTTCTTTAAGAACATCATGCCGCTTCATCTTGCATGTATTGCGAAAGAAGTCGAAATCAATGGTTTTAGTTTAAAAACAGCGTAACCTTCATTTGACATCGCTAACTGGGATGGATCATAAACAGCCTCTGCTATATAATCCATCGCTGCATGTTACAAACTAACATGTCAACTGGCTTTTGACACTCAGCACATTGTCACTGGCAGTTATGGTGAATACTGTCTCTGTGATCGATGGGACCCGAGTGAGTCTCTCACTGACCCGAATAAAAATGGAAATCAGTCCGTGTGTTAAGCGGATAGATGCTAACCGGAGCTCAACTGACTTAACCACTATCAGCCCTACAGCAGCCAGGAGTCTCGCTCTCACAGGCTGCCATTTGTTTTAAACGTCTCGATTGGACAATTAGCTCGTGAACTTAGCAGCACCTCTCATACGCAAAGGTTCCTTGATCTAATCTTGTACGTCTAGCCCGAGCCATATGTTTGAATTAAGCCTTGATGTGTGCCTGAAATGGGCTGCTCAGGTGGCCTAACAAATAACAGACTGAACAGAGCAGGAATGAAGTGGAATGAATGGGGTTGGTTTGTCTCTATATGAGAAAAGAAACAACTTGGTCTTCTATGATAAAATGGGAATATTAGAATAATCTTCTGTTATTGTTGGTGTGCTCAGTTCCTGAGCTAAGCACTGGGTTTAGCCGGCACAAAACCTTTAAAATCCCTGGCTACACTGACTTCCTAGCTCAATCCAGAAGGATACAGGGATAGTGCAGGCTACACCCTCTATTCACTTTGAATTTGTGTTGTAATTCATCAAACAGGCTGTGAATAAGAAAACAGTTGTTTTAACACATTGCCAGAAACAGTTTCTGACTGAATTGAATAGTGTACAGTTACAGTATAAGAATAATCAGCCTTGTAGTTATGTCAGTTTTCCTATCTGATTGCTTCTGCGGTGAATGTCTGGAGAATACATGGAGCAACCGTCTAAAATCTTTGTCTATTTGTTATATGTTTGTTATAACAAATAATAAATGGCTTTTCTCATCCTGAAAGTTAGTGGCATTTTAACGTATTATGCACTTATAAGAGAAAAAAAACAAATAAGAGAAGTTGCATACACACCGCATACACACATACTTAGCTGGGTATCCTCTAAAAAGATTTAGGACTGAGACTTGAACCCTTCCCATTATTAATTGACTGTCAAAAAAAATTTTTTTGAGTGATCTTCATTAAATAAAAAAAAAAAAAAATTATTTTAAAAAATAAAAAGTCCAAGGAACAAGAATACTTAAAAAAGGTTATGTACAGTACATGTAACCTGAAACATGCACTAAAGATGGGTTTTTGTTCCAAGGAGCTAGGACCTAAACCAAGATATTGAGGTTTCCGTAAATGTATAACTGAACATTTGTTTGAAGTCAAGACACAAAGTAAGCCACTGTAATTAAACCAAAGCTGTGTCCAAAATTGCATACTGTTTAGTAGGTGCTACATTTGGTGTGAAACTTGCTTCACAACTGTTAAAAATGTTCTACTGTATGAATATGAGTATGAATGAAATTTAGAACATCTGCCATGTTGTTACTGTCACCTGACCAGCATCAGTTGCAGTAGCATCAGTAGGTCATAGTAGGTCAAATACTATGAATTTGGACATACAGTCATGGCCAAAAGTTTTGGCAGTGATATAAATTTTGTGTTTTGCAAAGTTTGCTGCTTAAGCTGTTGTGGTGTTCATTCACATTGTTTCTAGATTATTGTGTAGAGTGATCAGATGCATTTAAAATAATTGCTAAAAGCTTCATTGGCCAAAAAATGAACTTTTCACAAAAAAAAAACAAATTTCCCTGTTTTTTTGATCCTGACGCAAAATGACCAGCTAACATTAATTGACTAATCATATCACCAGCACATGTGAAAGTGTGAATGAGTACAAGTCAGGTAAAATCACTACCATACTCATTAGATTGTAAGAGCAGACTGATTGCTATAAAAGGAGGGAAGAAGTGCTTCCAATCATTGTGTTCTTGTTAGCAATGGTTACCTCCAAAGAAACACGTGCAGCCCTCATCGCTTTGCATCAAAATGGCCTCACATGCAAGGAAATGGCTACAAAGAATATTGCACCTGAAAGAACCATTTACTGGATCATGAAGAACTTCAAGGAGAGAGGTTCGACTGCAGTGAAGAAGTCTTCAGGATGTCCCAGAGTGTCCAGCAAGCGCCAGGCATCTGCACGCAGAGTGAGGCCAAGATTTTTGGACAACGGCCTGGTGTCAAGAAGGGCAGCAAAGAAGCCACTTCTCTCCAAGAAAAACGTTAAGGAACAGACTGAAATTCTGCAAGAAGTACAAAGATTGGACAGCAGAAGTGTAAAGTTATTTTCTCTGATGAAGCTCCCTTCCGACTGTTTGGGACATCTGGAAAATCGATTGTTCGGAGAAGAAAAGGTGAACGCTACCATGAGTCCTGTGTTGTGCCAACAGTGAAGCATCCTGAGACCGTCCATGTGTGGGGTTGCTTTTCAACCAAGGGAGTGGGCTCTCTCATAATTCTGCCCAAAAACACTGCCATGAATAAAGAATGGTATCAAAACGTCCTGCAAGAGCCACTTCTTCCAACGATCCATGAGCAATTTGGTGATGATCCGTGCATTTTCCAGCATGATGGAACATCATGTCACACAGCAAGAGTGATAAAGAAGTAGCTCAAAGATCATTACATTTAAATTTTGGATCCGTGGCCAGGCAACTCCACGGATCTCAATCCCATAGAGAACCTGTGGTCAGCCCTCAAAAGATGCCAGAGCGAACCGCAGAGGTTATAAAGAACAAGGGTCAACACTGAAAATATTGACTCATTTTATTTTTTTGCCAATAAAAGCCTTTAAAACTTATAATATGCTTATTGTTTTTCAGTATACCATAGAAACATGTGGAAAAATAATCTACGAATACTGAAGCAGCAAACATTGCAAAACACAAAATTTGTCACTGCCAAAACTTTTGGCCATGACCGCACTACTCTTTTCTCATACTGTTTTCGACTACTATCCTATATATTATGGAAATAGGCATATTCATTCAAAAAATGGTGATTTTGCAATACTAATATATAGAGGTGTAATCACTTTTGTAATCACAAGTTAGGAAAATTAAAAAATTGGTCAAGCAACCTCAGTTGGTTAGTTGGACCACTTGAGATTAATTAACCCAAATACTGTATGTCATGTTATGGAAATAAAATGTTGACTTGAAAAGTGTTAAAGGGGTCATATGATGCGATTTCAATTTTTCCTTTCTCTTTGGAGTGTTACAAGCTCTTGGTGCATAAAGAAAATCTGTAAAGTTGCAAAGACTAAAGTCTCAAATCCAAAGAGATATTCTTTATAAAAGTTCAGAGTCAGCCACACCTACCTAAAACGGCTCGTTCTAACACGCCCCTACATATCTACCTCACTATGTGGGAAGATTTGCATAACGCCGCCCAAATGTTCACGCAAAGAAAGAAGGCGTAACTTTTATTCTCGCTGTAGTATTGTTGACGCTGCAGCTATGTCGTGAAGACGCTGTGTGCTTCGTTGTGAAAGCGAAACTACTTTGTTTGGTCTTCCAAAAGAGGACGATATCCGCTTCGTCATGCCTAGAGCTGATCTGTGCTGGTCGCTGAGGGAATACATCAACTTTCACCGTGGACGAAGCGGAATCCAGCCCGGGGTCGTCACATGTGGTTGCCGCTCATTCGTCGGATCCGCCGGGCGCGCCGTTCTCACGCTAAGCCGGGGCTTCCGCTCACGCTAGCTCGGCCTCAGCTCACTCTAGCCCGGCCTCAGCTCACTCTAGCCCGGCCTCAGCTCACTCTAGCCCGGGGCTTCCGCTCACGCTAGCCCGGCCTCAGCTCACTCTATTTATGGAGGACTGTTTACTGATCCTGGGAGAGTAACGTTAACGTTAACGACTAAAATGCCGGCAGTTCTGACTCACGTAAGTATGTTTTCATTTAAAGGATTTGCCACTGATGATTCAAACGCGAGTTTTGGGCAGTAGAGAAGTACTTGCTGTTTGTCATTTCTCTGATCACAAATGCAGACAGAGTTTTATGTTTATGCGGCGCGATGCAATGCAACGCAACGCGTAAAAAGACAGTATAAGTCGTTATAATCAGTAATTATGTCCCCACTGGATGCAACAAATGCCTCGTTTATAATGGGTTTTAATGTTTTTGTCTCGTCGCTCCGGCCGGGACACGGCATCAACAGTATGTGAGGGGCGTAACATTTCCGTCTCACGCTTGAGGTATTCAGCCAATCACAACGCACTGGATAGCTGGCCAATCACAGCACCCCTCGCTTTTTCAGACCGATGAGCTTTGTAAAAATCGACGCGTTTCAAAAAGGCGGGGCATAGAGGAGAAACAATAATGTACAGTATGTGGAAAATAATGTGTTTTTTTAACTTTAAACTGCATAAACACATTTCATTACACCAAATACACAAAATAATGTTCTTTTTAGCAGCATCATATGACCCCTTTAAAGTTGGCATGAAAAGCACCCTATCTATTTTCTAAATGCATGTTATAGATCTTATTGTGAAGAATCATCCGTGCATGTGTAAAAAAAAAATGTAAATGTTATGACCTGTAATGTTTCATCACAATATCATAAGCGGACCTTCCGGTGAAAACGTCAGACTTCTCTCTGGTGTCATATGCAGGACTTCTCCAATAATTTAATCTGTCTAAATCCTGTCCCTGCAAGCTCATGTTCATCTGAATGCACTTTTGAGTGCAACACCCACATCTCCATACCCAGTCAACAACCAGTGCTAGTCCTTGCCCTACATTTTGCCATAATCCATTACGCTTGAAAGTACATCACAATATGGAAGAAAAGATCTATCGCTACTTCTGTTTCATCACAACTTTAACACAGTATGCAAATAGAATAGCAATTCTATAAATCACCTTGGCACTGAATCTCTTTTATTGTTGCAGATGGCCTCAGCAAATGATGCTCGATATGGACAAAAAGAGTCTACGGATCAGAACTTTGACTACATGTTTAAGATCCTGATCATTGGTAACAGCAGTGTTGGCAAAACCAGCTTCCTGTTCCGCTATGCCGATGACTCCTTCACACCCGCTTTCGTCAGCACTGTTGGCATAGACTTCAAAGTGAAGACCATCTACCGGAACGACAAGAGGATAAAGCTCCAAATATGGGTGAGAAGTTTATCAAATTATCATTTTCAGGTTTAATTTCTGCTAGAATCTTGAGTTTTGTGTTAGAGCAATGTTTCATTGATTTTGATTAAGGAGTTTTTTATTGATAGAACCATCAAGACATTTTCACTCCAACTACTGTATATTTCAGGACACTGCTGGGCAGGAAAGGTACAGGACCATCACCACAGCGTACTATCGTGGAGCAATGGGCTTCATTCTGATGTATGACATCACCAACGAGGATTCCTTTAATGCCGTTCAGGACTGGTATGATAGTGCTTATTTTTGTCTGTGGCTCATAAAATTGATATGCAAAGATGTGACCCAGTTTCTGTCAAAACGCAGGGTGTCCTGAGAGAATGCACTATATATTTGCAGCACCCAGGTGCAATGTGATATGATTCCAGCGATAAGTAATTTTCCCACGTTGAACACGAAATTGCTACACAACATGACACAATCACAACATTCAACATCAGTCTCATCGGTCAAAAGTCAACATGAAATTAATCTTCACCTTATTTTCTGAATGCATGTACTGTTCTTACTGTGAACAGTTCTTCTTTTTATATGTTGATTTTTTGACCTAATTTTGGTAATCAAAATTTCACAAATCAATATTAGAATGAAAATGATAGACTTCTCCAATCATTTAGTCCTACTAAAACCCACCTCTCCACAATCAGCTGCAAGCTTGCATTCATCTGCCTCCACTGAGCAACGTCCACATCTAAAAATCCACTGAACAACTGATGGATAGAACCAAGTCCCTATTCTACTTTTTTGTTCTTTTTTGATAATTAGTTACACTCAGACGTACATCACAATATGAAAGAAAAGATCTGTTTCATCGAGACCTGTATATATTGCTATGTGGAGTGGATCTTTGGACCAATAAGATTTCAGGATGGGCAGGGATAACTGGCACAATATCACAGAAATAAAACCAAATGACAATAAACTGCTACTGCTGCCACTTTTAGTTGTTACAGCTGGTTAGGGCAAAGACTCAGATTTATATGGAAGTAATTTTATATATATATATATATATATACAGAGTGGTTGCTTCAGAGAGAGGAAGACAGCTGTCTGAACAGCTAGGTGGGTTTTCCACTAGAATGTCCTTCATATGCAGGATGTTTTCTTGCAGCCCTTAGTTTAATTGGAATATAATAGTGCCTTTTACTTTTGACTGTCACAGGCTTTATGTTTTTTGAGGCCAGTGCCAAGGACAACATTAACGTGAAGCAGACATTTGAGCGACTGGTGGACATAATCTGTGAGAGGATGGCTGAGAACCTGGAGTCGGCGGATCCGTCCATCACTGGACACAAGCAGGGCCATCAGCTCAATGAGCAGCCGCAGCGCTCCCACAAAGACTGTGCTTGCTAAGGGTCGCTCTCAACCTCTCCACCATTCCCCGCAGATTGAACAATGGACCGCTCTATGAAAGAAGGCTTTGGTAAGAGAAGAGCTGATGGGATGTGGCTGAGAGCCTGTCCTTTGTGTCACTTTTGTGAGGTTGACATCAGCACATTTTTATTTCTCTTATATTGGTATTGGTAACCAATGCTCCTCTCATCTCTTAATAATTTGACAGCATCTTTAGACATAGTACTTTTTGACTTTGGGGTCAAATTAATTCCAACGTGAAATTGGGTGAATCACATTTTGTTTTGGTACAATATCTGCTAAAACATTCTTCTAAACGTTCATGAGCATTTCCTCTGTGTGTTTTGGGTTTCATCAAGGTCAAATTCACACAGATATCCTCAATGTATTGCCAAGAGATATTTTATTCTTTTTTTTAAACAAACCAATACACAGTTGGGACCAGATTGTTGTGTGGAATCCATCAGCGTAGCGGCTCATCCCAAGATAGAACGTTTGAATGAATCCTAAGATTGAATTGTTCATAAGTTCTGCTTCACTCTTTTATTTTAAAAAAAAATGAAAGTGAAAACAAAATGCACACTAATTCATTTGCTCCCTGTTATTTTTTTAAATAACAGCAGGTGTATTTTGTAAAACATATTATATAAGCAAAAGTGATAATAGATGTAATTAGGAAAATATAATTATGACGTGCTTAATTGCTTTTTGTTTTTGTAATACGAAGGAATTAATGAATTTAAATTTATTTTTCAGTTGCATGTTCTTCTTTTACTCCGGTTCCTACATACTAGTGGACTCATACTCCTCATTTTACCATAAAGAAAGCTTGTGAGTGTCTGTGTGCATGTTAGTATGTCATCCTAGTATATTGTAGATATTTTGTTTTACATGCATAGATGAGGATTACTGTCATTCTGCAGGCTATAACACAATAAAAGCTTTAATGAAAAGAGAACCTTCAAAGAATAAAAGCTAATGGGTTTCTGGACAACACTATTTTGAGTAGACAGTAATATTAAAACAAACAAAATGCATTGCGATTTGCTTAAAGTTCTCATTTAGGCATAGGAAACAAATACTGCAAAGATATTAATTAGATGCCTGGTTGAATATGCACCATTGATTGATCACTTGTGTCAGTTAAATCACTAGAGTATTAACATATGTTAGTGCACACAATAATGTTAATTATGTTATGTGTTAATTTAACGCTTTATTTATTGCTTGTTTATTTACATGCATTTTTATTGGTGTATGTGTTCTGCATTAGATTAAGAGGGCTACTGCTATACGTATAGAACAGGCTGGACATCTGAAATGTCTCACTTTTATAAATCACAGAGTTGTAAATGCAAAAGGGGATGAATGTTTGAAAACCTCATGTTTGTATAAGTACTATGTGTTGATTTTCCTCTATGCAATTTAGAAGCTTTGTTATACCAAATAGTCACTGGATATTCAGGGATACGGTTTTGTAAGGTGTGTAATTGACCATTTATACCCTCCATTTATATCCTGTCCTAGCCTAAACAAATGGCAAGCCACTGGGATCTACTTTCTTTATACAGAGAAATTTGTCACATTAGTATGCTTTGTATGCAGAGTGATCACTGTTAAAAGTTTTTTTTTTTTTTTTGTATTTTGGCAGTTTGAGTTTTGTTTGTTTCTCTTGTAAATTGTACAGTAGTTCTTCAGTTCCCACTCTATTACTTATGCCATTTTAAAAAATAACAAAATAAAAAATTACAAATAGGTTTTAAGTGATGTTCATCTTGTATTCTGTATTTCACCTTGGTAGATAATGGTAAGAATAAACCACTGTATTAGCAACTGATATAAACTGGACACTCATTGTCATGAGGTTTTTTTTTTTTTGTAATTTTTTTTATTTATTTTTTTGAGAATCAAGTCACCACATGCATCTGTTTATTGAGTTAAATAAAAAGCTGTTTGAAATCTTTTGTGGCTTATTGCTGTCATTGGGAATGACCTCTGACCTCAGCTGAGATGTAATCAGGGCTGCTACTGGTCAAAATAAAATTAAATGTAGTTATACTAACATAACCTTAAAGGAATGGTTCACCAAAAAAATGAAAATTTGCTGAAAATTTATTCACCTTCAAGGCCACGGGATGGAATATTTTACTGGAGAAAGCATTATTATGGATTATGGACTGGAAAGGTAAAATGCCTGATGGATTTGTTTCTTGGAAACAGATTTTATCATTTATAATTATAATTTAATCATTTATAATAATTTATAATTAATTTAATAATGATAATTTAGTAGACGCTTTTATCCAAAGCGATTTACAGTGCATTCAGGCTATACATTTTTTACCAGTATATGTGTGTTCCCTGGGAATTGAACCCACAACCTTTTGCACTGTTAACGCAATGCTCTACCACTGAGCTACAGGAAGGATTTTCACTTTACAAGACATAGATGTGTGCATTACTGTAGGTGTGGGCTATTGTGTTTTATGTTTTATTGTGTATTATGTTTTTATCAGCTGTTTGGACTCTCATTTTGATGGTGGGGGGGGGGGGGTTAGAACAAAAAAAGTTCAGCTCCCCTGGC